AGCACCAGTAGCGGAAGCAAGATGCATACCTTCAGCACACCATCCAGATCACCAGCTTCTCCTTCTATGTATCTTGTCCCTGCACCCTCCATGCGGTCCCCCGTCCCGCTACAGTCCTTGCAGTCATCACCTGGTACGGATCAGCCGGTTGCCACCCCTTGGTCAAAAAAACGCCCCCCCTTTCACAAGGAGATAGCTACAGAGGAGGATCTCAAAAGATTCTTGGCGGACGTTGATGAGAAAATATCCGAGACCATAAGTAAATTGGGGACCCCACCTCCCACCGTGAATGGATTTAGTATGGCCAGTCCAAACACCATGGTCAGCTCGGTCAATACTTCTGGAGCAACGAGAAGCACGCCTTTGAGGCCAGTAAGGATGTCCCCTGGTTCCCAAAAGTTCACGACCCCTCCGAAGAAAGGGGAATTGGATCTACCCCCTCCAATGTCCATAGAAGAGTCAATTGAGGCTTTCGAGAAGTTGGGCGTCTACCCGCATATCGAGCAATGGCGTGATCGGTTGAGGCAGTGGTTTTCTTCCGTTGTACTCAATCCTCTTCTTACAAAAATCGAAACCAGCCACCTGAAGGTAAATATATATATCTCATTAACTACCATAGCCTGGAAATCTTCCACAACTCTAGTTAGGAAATCAGATCTCTGTCTCTCCGAAACACATCAATGTAACCCCAATTGCATTTCCAGTGCTTAAAGAGTATCTGTGAGAAAGTAACTGAGAATTTGCAATTCTAGACTGAGAGGCAGCTAGGAGTGTCTGGATTTTTTGTAATGGGAATAGAAGTATCATAATGATTCAGAAGTCGGCTATGGTTAACATCTTTGCATTGTTTGACAGCCTTAAGTTATTTGTTTGAGTGTTTCAAGTGCACTTGTTATATTCTTAATATTGCTATGTTAGTAAACTTAGCTCTACACCCTTTTTCTAATTGTTTATGTTTTTCTCTTATTTTTAGGTTATTGAAGCAGCTGCTAAACTTAACATTTCAATTACCCTCAGTCAAGTTGGAAGTGATACCCTTACTACACCTACTGCTAATGTATCTCAAATGGAGCGAACTAATGAGTGGAAGCCATCATTTGCAGTTGACGAAGATGGACTTCTTCATCAGCTGCGTGCTACTCTCATTCAAGTTCTTGATGCTTGTATGTATAAACTCTTTAATGAATATTTACGTAATATACGCAATGCATAGAGGTATTTGTGAAGCCAAGTTTGTTTTAGACTTTTGTATTACTTATTTATTATTTTTTGGGTTTAATTTCTAACCACTGCTTCTCATTTCTAGCAAAATTACCTTCTAGCAACTTCCAGCAAGCTGCATTAATTCCTGTTCTACAAGAGGCTGTTGATGCCATTGTGGAGCATCAGAGGCTCCATGCTTTGATAAAAGGAGAGTGGGCTAAGGGGTTGCTTCCTCAAAGTAGTGTCCGTGCAGATTATACTGTACAAAGGATTCGTAGTAAGAGTGAAAATCATCATTACTGACGTTAATTAAACTGATCTTGCTCCTCATATGTGGTTTTCACCATGCTTAGTTAGTTTGTATTAACTTGTCAAAAACCTTACAGAGCTTGCGGAAGGAACTTGTGTAAAGAACTACGAGTATCTGGGAAATGGCGAAGTCTATGACAATGTGAATAAGAAATGGAGTCTTGAGCTCCCCAGTGATTCTCATCTACTTCTCTACCTGTTTTGTGCTTTTCTGGAGTATCCCAAATGGATGTTGCATGTCGATCCTTCAACTTATACCGGGGCACATGGTAGCAAGAACCCTTTGTTTTTGGGGGCTCTGCCGCCTAAAGAAAGCTTCCCTGAGAAGTATATAGCTGTTATATCCGGTGTTCCCTCTGTGCTGCATCCTGGGGCTTGTATTCTAGCTGTTGGGAAGCAATCTCCTCCAGTATTTGCTTTATACTGGGACAAAAAGCCTCAGTTTTCTTTCCAGGCAAGTTACAGTGTATTACCCCTGTTTTGACTTGCATGATTTTAGGATATAAAAATCGAACAACAGAGCAATTGGGAATTATACAGATCTTTGGGGTGCAAAAATAACATTTAGGGTTAATTTCAAAAAGATACACAGCTGTCTTTCTAAGCCACGAATGCCGCCTCACATTTATGTCTATTCCAACAAGTTGTTTCCTTTTCTTTTGAGGAAAATTCAAATTCTCAGTAGGGTGTTTGTATCTACCATGTTTTGTAAGTTTCAAACAGTAGTCGAGCCTTTTGTACTTGGCTCGCACCTCGAGTTTCACTTCACTTATATATTCGTTTATACGGAAGGTATCTTCGCAAGAGGCAATAACTTGCTCCAACCTGTGTGGCCTTTTCGTTTGCAGGGAAGAACGGCATTGTGGGATTCCATATTGCTCTTGTGCTACAAAATTAACGCGAGTTACGGTGGTTTTGTAAGAGGGGTACACCTCAGCTCATCGGCCTTGGAAATTCTCCCAGTTCTCGAACCAGAAACTGACGATTGAGAGAGAGAGAAACAAAAAAATAAAAAATTGTTGTGCATTATATATTCGTCTTAGTAGCTGTCGGACGCATTTAATCTCATCGAGCCATTATTCCTGCAGCTGCTCACGACATGGTATTTCTCATAGCTACTTTCTAACATTGAAAGATTAGACAGTAGTTTGTGTTGGTGTAGTCTTCTTGACGGGAGACCGTTTGGTATTCTGTATTGATATTGAGTCATTGACCTCCTTTAGCTAACGAAGTTTTTTCATTGCCGTTATTGTTGCTCGTCTCTTTGACTGCTCGTGTTTTGGCAGAATGCAGAACTTCCTTTTCATTCTAATTTACTCCATTTGTCACACACGATTTTTTTTTTCCTCTTCTTAATTTCAAAGGCTAAGAAACAGTCATTGTTGTAACAAAACTATAAAAGTAGAGTAAAAATTAGAAAATTTTTCAGAAAAAATATTCTTTAGTAAGTTATAGTTATTATATCTTCTTTTGTACTGCAAGTGTAAATGAATTAGATAAGAGCAGAAATAGAAACATTATAAAGAAATAAATAAATTGCTCTACTTGCGTAGCTTCTCTCAACATTAATTGCTCTACTTGCGGATTTGAGGGCGAATCCTCTCGACTTGCGAGAGAATGAATGATGCTGACGAGATTACATTAATTATTTACTCTAGAAGGTACAATCACAAAGTCGTGCTAGCAACGAAATCTTAATAACACCTACAATACTCGTAAATGTCAAAACACTGGAATAGATGATACTAATCTTCACTGATAAACATTGAAGTTCTATCGATGGACATTGTAACACAGTACTAAATTTAAATACTTTCAGAATCAGATGATATCACCATAAAGCAAAACCATAAAAAAAAGTCACATCACACATCTAAAAAACTCCTTCAGTCATAAACTATGTGACACAAAATCGACATTTTACTTAGCTACGGTAGTCTGAAGAGGCAGAATGCTTTCCACTTCCTTAGTCTCGGAACTCCTTTCCGCAACAATTTTGGACATGCCAAACATCTGATACGCAGCAAGAGTGTTAGATGAGATACATACGAGCAACCGAAAAGAGCAAAATTCATATTCTTTTTTTTTTTTTTTTTTTCTTTCGATGTTAAAGGTGAGTCTCGAAAAAAGAATTACCTTCTTAATTGTCTTCTGGAAGCAAGTTTTGTGTTCGTCCATAGAAGCATGTATGAACTCATCAATGTGGTCCCTCACATCTTCCAAGAAAGTGGCACTTTCGTTCTTCTTCTTCCGGCATGAAGACACAGCTGAAGCCGGAGATTGAGCTGGCGCCTTCTCGTTTTCAGTTGCCATTTTTCGGTTACTACCTAAGAAAACATTCAGCAACCCATTTTTGTTGACATTAGGGGAAAAAAAAAAGTGCAAACACAAGTGAAGATGGCGAACAAAAGGAAGGTATCTGTAAACAGGCTAGGAAATTATCAATATGAAATTTTTAATTACATAACTTTCTCATTGAGAAGACATTATCACGAACTACGCATCATTAATAAAAAAAGATATATTTATCGTGACCAAATGATACAAAGAAATAATCCCATTCATTATCGAAGATTAAACCAATCTCTCAGAGAAGCATACATATATGAACTATTCTTGGCTTGATAGCATGTCCCGAATCATTATTCGTATCAATCAATCACTTTTCCGATATACAACTATACCTATAAACTCAAACACATCACTGCCCCGAAAATAACGATTTTCGTTATCTCACACGACCTATGCCCAAACAGCAAACCATCATCGACAACATAGCCTCTGCTCTTAACGCATGTATGAATGATATACAACTATACCTATAAACTCACACATATCAGTGCCCGGAAATAACGATTTTCGATATCTCACACGACCTAAATCCAAACAGCAAACCATCATCAACAACATAGCCTATGTTCTTAAAGCATACATGAAGAATAAATCAAATACAGACATAACCATAATTTATCTTTAGCTCAATGTTCTTTACTCTTTAGGCTAAGAATTCGAAAACCAGATGCAGGCCAAATTTTGCACCCTTCAACTCTTAAGCACAATACAATAAACGCTCGATTTTGCTATGAAGTCAACCTTCTATACACAATAAATAAACATACTATATTAATAAAATTATATAAGTGTTATTTAAGTAGTCAGAAAATATGACAAATTTAGTTGTTGTAGATAGAAGATTGGCTCCACTATGGAGCCAACTGTTGGCTTCATAGCAAAACCGGCTCGATCAAATGCCAGAAAAGTGATTATAGCTAAACAAAACAGTAGTAAGATGCACATCAAACCACTAACAACAATCAAACAATAAAAAAAAATAAAAAAAATAAAAAATAAAAAAACAACAAGAAGAGAATAAATCACAGAGAGACTCAATTGGACAGCACAAATTATATAAATCTAAATTCGAAAAATAAATAAGAGGAGACGAATTTTCACCTGTGGATGAAGATGAGAAAGATTCAGAAAGATGTTCACTGTTTTCTGATAGAGAGGAGAAGAGTAAGAGGGCTTTTTAAATCGATCTGTAATGTAACTTGGAGAGGAATTAATTAATTAATTTACAAGATAACAGAGATTTACTTGGACAGGAATTAGTAATTTAATAAATTGCAAATAATAATAATAATAATAATAATTTAAATGGCTACGGCCTTTTCTGTATTGAGTTTTATGCTGTGGGCTCGTTTGACCCCAAAAAGAATGCCCTTAAGGGTTGGGTTGGGAGTAAAATTGATCGTTGATAAAATAAATGTCGTTTTGAATATTTTCTTTTCATATTTTTCTATTTTTAAACCTCTATTTAATTTATAGTGTCTTGTCGTATTTCATCTCTATCTTTTTCCATAATATTCATTAAATAAGATTAATATTGACAAGAAATAAAAAATTCTTAATTAACGACAAATAATAAAAAATAGGAGGGAGTACTGTACATAGATGTGTACATAACACTCGCATTATGGGTCCTACCCAAAAATAAAAAATCAAGTGGACCCCACTCCATGTGAGTGTTGTATATATTTTTTTATGTATATTTATCATGTGCTTGTAGCATTTTTTATTATTTATTTGTTTGTTTGAGATGATAAAAAAAAAATTAATAATAAAATTAAACGAGTTATTTACAAACAAATGATTCAGTTGGAATAGTGTAATAAAATTGTTGATTAGTTGTTCTTGGTTCATTTAAATGATTGATGAAATTTAAAATTTCATTAATCGAATGGAGATATGTTTTGTGACAACTCGATATAATTAACAGTTATACCCATTGAATATTGCCTTTTGTTAATGAAAAAATAGTTGGTACAATAATTAAGGGAATAATTGGCAATTTTTCAAGGTTAAACAATGTAATAAATAATAATAACAAATTATGATATGATAGAAAAATAATATAATAATTAATAATTATGTATATATATATAAATAAACGATAAAAATTGTAGAATATATATACCAATTATTTCTTTAAATTTAAAAATCTATCTATATCTATATATATATATAAAAAGATTTATCATTTTTCAAAAATAGCAGGTTAAATTTTGGTCAAAATCATTTTGCATTAATTACATTCTATTCTTAGTAACTTTTCTTTTTATTTTTAACAAAAAAGGCAACATTAAATGCTACCCATTAATTAAGGATTTTGTTATTTTGGTTTTCATCAAAACCATGAATGTTGCCTATTATTTGGGGCTGATGTTGTTTTATTTTTAAAAATCATGTTTAATAAAGGAAATAACTATGTATCACTCTAAATTGCTGAATAATAAATTGTTTTGTTTTGCGTCTTTACTTGCTTAATAAATTAATTAGTGCTGATTTAATACTCAACTGGTCAAACATTTTTTTTTTTTATTTCAAATTAAGAAATAAATATGTATAACCGATAAAAAAGAATTAAATATGTATAGATAATATATTAATTATTTTACAAGCTAGCCCTAATATACAAGTGAAAAATATATGATAACCCTATTGATATTTAGATTTAAACGAACAGAATCGTGTGAAAATAATTCATTTAGGCTTCGTTTACTAGCGCGGACAGGATTGGATTAGGTTGGTTAACCAACCTAATCCTTCGTTTACTAGGCAGGTATGTGATAGGTTAAATATGATGTGTCCATTAGTTGGCAGGTGGGTCCATAGACAATTAAATGACGTGTGAGGTTAAGTTTATCCGCCCATTTTGGCCAGATTTTTTAATCCTCTTTTCGTTGTTCCAATTTTGTCCAAAAAGTAGGAACCTAAATGTCGATTATACCCCTCAATATCACTGAATTTACAGATATAGTAATTACAAAAGCAAAAAATCGTTTATGGATCATCTGCTCGAACACGAAAAACCCTAGCAGCTCCTGCGTAAGAGGCCAAAAGTTCTTCTTCTTATGCCCTGTAAATTTGATTTGCTTTTTTCGAATGTCTTGTAATTTATCCTCTCCTGAACTCGCAGGTACGCTTGTTCTTGGTCGACGGATCGCGAAGAAATACTTCACTCCAAATCCGAGGTCATTAATCTGTAAATTTGTGCTTCGAATTTTTTACTTCTTCAATCAATTTTTTGTGCCAATTCCCAACGTCTGTATGTTTGTAGACGACTTGTGATTTATTTAATTTAATTAATTTTTTTGTTTTTGTTACACATTGCTAAATATGTGTCACAGTTGATTGCTATATATATGTCACAGTTGAATCTGCACGAATTTGTGCTTCAATTTTGATTTTCTTGTAATTAATATTTTTTTTTGTTAAGCATTGTTATATATATATCTCAGTTGTATAGGGCTCATTTTTGAATTTGGTAATGGGTGAAACAGTTTGTGTTCATTTCTTCTTTGTTCATGTACTGATTTTGTCCTCACATTAGTGTTGTGTATATTAGGTAATTAATGGGTAACTGTGTACATGCCCATGGGACAATCTTGTAAATGATAGTATATGGTACATAATCCTGTATATTGTTGGTTGAGGTGTACTTGATCTGGAACTTTTATTTTCTGTTTCTGTGGGAGTTCTTAGAATTTTGTTTTCTTGCTTACATGACTTTGAACTGCATCCTTAGCTTCTGTGATGTACCTGACTAGAAAAGTCCTGCAAAATTAGAGAAATATTAGAATGCTTGTTAATGTTTCTGTACATGATAAACAAAAGTCATGCTAAAGTGTTTCTGTACATGATAAACAAAAAAAGATTGTTAATGTTTCCATTTTCTGTTTCAATGAAAAAATATGCGGAATCTTTTCTGTTTATGTTTCATGAAAAGTTTTATTCATTGGGCTGAAAAGTTTTATCGATTTTCTATAAATGAAACACATATTAACCTTTTTTAAAATGAAAGCCATATTAACCTGTTTGTGGCTGAACCTGATCCATTGAAGCATTGTTGTTGTGGGTCATATATTTGTGCTTCCCATTGTTTACTGTAATCACCGTTTGAATGAGGTTTGTTGATCAAAATTTGTAGATGGAATCTGTTGCGGATGAATTAGCTGTTATTACCATATTGGAAGAGATCATTAGTAGTATTCAACTGTTTTTGCTACTATCTATTTATTACTATATTAAATTCATCCGCCCTAGGCGAAGACGTCGACGTGCGTCCAGTCAGCACGTCCTGTTATATCGAGCTAGTGATAGACTCCCCCATCAGATCACTTACATGCGAAGGTTGATAAACGTGAGCGACACAACTTGTGTCGAGAACCTCCGTATGGATCGTAACTCTTTTGGCCGTCTTTGTCACCTTCTTGAAACCATTGGGGGACTTAGACAATCTAGAAATGTTCCACCAAGCGAACAAGTTGCAATCTTTCTCTCAGTCCTTGCCCATCATAAGAAGAACGTCACACTAAAGCTTGATTTTGTAAGATCCGGTCGAACAATAAGCAAATACTTTAATCGTGTACTTGACGCTGTCATCCGACTTCACTCCGTCCTGGCTGTGAAACCGCAGGCAGTTGAGGCGGATTGCGTCGATGCACGGTGGAAATGGTTTAAGGTAACCTATACCATATTTCACTACGTGTTACAAATTTGTTAGTTGAATGATCTCGAACTACTAATTGTTTGGTAATTATCTTTCGTTAGGGATGTCTAGGAGCACTAGATGGAACGTACATTGACGTGCGAGTCCCTTTGTCGGACAAGGCACGATATAGAACCCGTAAGGGTGATATCTCTGTCAATGTACTTGGGGTCTGTGATCAAAATATGAACTTCATCTTCATGCTATGTGGATGGGAGGGGTCAGCTTCAGATAGTCGCATCTTGCGTGATGCAGTTACTAG